TATGTCTGGAACAACTTCATCAAGAAGGCCAAGGCCGAGCACATCGTGATTGTTGCACATAGTTTGGCTAAAGAAGTAGTTCTTCATGGCGTAAGTATGCTTTCTGTTGTTTTATTTAGTTATCTAAGCCGCATAAAAAACATATAAAGCAACATAGCACGAGCGGAATCGTCACGGTGTTTCGTCGTCGCCACGAAGTAGGTTTTGGTAGACGTCAATCAAGTCATTTTCATTACATTCCATAGGCAAGTGCACTAGAAAACTTTGTGCTTTTCGACATTGTCATGGAAACAATCCAACCATCCCTTACCAGCTGAACGGTGACCTTTGTTTCAGTCAATCATAGCGCGCTTAGCTGTTTTGCCACCGGCCCTCATTCCCAGGCTACTGTAACCCAACTTTTGCGTATTTTTCTGCTTTCTTTTGACTAAAATRTAATAAACAAGCCTACAGCAAGCAGAAATATGGAAAAGAAGAAAAAGAACATTTTCACTTTACMGCCATGCTTGCTTCGTTCTTTCATGCTTAGGGCWGRTCATTTTGTCCACTCATGCTTCGCGCGCCGTGTTCWYCTCAGCTGGTATGGCAAATTGCTAGTCTACCCCGTTAAGGGAGTGAGCGTTGCGTGACGACACTAAGAACGGCTGCGGGGAAGACTAGCAAATTAACACGATTTCGTGCAAGTTGAGAACGACTGTAGTACAAACCAGTGCATTGGTAAAAGATATTTATAATRCACATTTTCTTYGTAGCTAAGGGAAATTGATGAAGCAAGGAGGCGGATCAAGGCAGTGGCATTCACACACACCACTATCGAGGAATTAAGAGAAATCAAAAGTTGGCTCAATGAGGTTAGTTGTCTTAWTGCCTCCTMTCYCTTCTCACCTACACCCCTAGTCCAATCGTAYATTCAGTGATAATATTACTTATTGACAACTATCAATATTATCATCTCGCATTCTGATGACTGATAAATTGATAGTTAGGGTGATAAACCTAAACTCAATTAGCCCCCCCCCCTAAAATTTGCCTGGATCCGCCCTTGAGGAGTGGGGATATGAAGTACCCACAACCTCTGTTCTTGAAGTGAAATCCTCGATTATTTGCTCACATATCTACAAAAGTAAAATTATAATCGCGTAACGAAATGGCGCCTTTTTTGGCGCCTCTTGGTTGCCATTTTTGCTACGACTGATGCAAAACTTTTTGCTTCATTAGAATGCAAGAAATTGGGTGTGTTCTGAAGAACCACTAGACACACCGGTGAAGATCGACTGTAAAGATGACTGTGACCAAGTGTCTGCAGGTATGTTTTTACCCAGGGATATTTATATAAAGATTTTACTATCCAAATCACAAGTAATATCCAGCGCCATTGTTATAGTTAATTTTCGTATTGTTTTACTTTTGCCGGCTATATTCACAAAGAYCAATCAGCGCAGCGCCTGAAATTTCGAGGAATGTGATTGGTTGTTCGGTACTGTCTAAAATTAGCTGACTACTGAAACACATCAGACGCCACCTTATACCAGATGGACACTTCTAGATGGATTTATACACGTGAGATTGGGAAGCACCATAAAAAAAAACAAGCTCACAATAAGATGAGAGCTTTTCGTTACTGTTTTTCCTCTTGCTTTTTCAGGGACGAATGAACATACCATGACGTCTCACCTTGCCAAAGATTCGGTCTTCAATTTTTTCGAAGAAAAACTAAGTGGTACGTACGTAAGCAATAACTGATCTATGGGGACATTTTCCGACGAAGGACTAACGTCCGAAACATCATTCAAGTCATAGCTTTTTTCTACGGTGTTCAATGTACTTATATTATACGGAGGCAAGAGAATATAAAGTAAGAGAGCACATCTGCCATACATGGGTCTCTAACCATGAAAGTTTTTTGAAGATCTATTTTTAGCCCCGCGCGCAAGTCTGAGCTATTTTTAGCATGCGATTCCTGATTGGTCAGATTGTAGTGACTTCGAGGCGAAGGAAAAAATTTTAGTTTCCGACGAGTAGATTTAAATGTCTTATAAATCAGACATTAAAATGAACTTTTATGTAGTCTTCATGAATGATTAATCTTTTTAAAAACTTGTAAAAAAATGTAAAAGTCGAAAGCTTGGTTCAAATACAATAACAATAGCAAAAATGGAATTTAACATATGCCAGCGTGCTAAGAAATCAGTTTCAAAACTTTATTAAAATCTTATTGATCTTTATTAATTCAATCTATCATGCAGCTGCATCCAGCTTCATCAAACCTACGCAGTTGACCAGGATACCTCTCCAGTATCAGCCGCATGAACTAGATTCGGTTTATAAGATGACCAGTAGCCCTAGAGGACTTGCTGTGATTGTCAACATGAACAACTTTCAACCTAAAGCAAGAGTTCACAACAGGAAAGGCTCAGAAAAGGATCAACAGGGGCTTGTAAATTTATTTGAAGAGCTTGACTTTAGAACCAAAACGCTCGTTGACCTCACTAAAGAAGAACTCTTGAGTGAATTCCAAGACATTACCAAGTACCATTTCGGAGCCTACGACTGCTTAATTGTCTGCATCATGAGTCACGGGRATGAAGACTATTTCGTRGCCTGCGAYGGAGRAAAGATCAAAAYCCAAAGCATCCRWRARATGTTTAATAACAAAAACTGCGAGKCACTTTGCGGAAAACCCAAGCTTTTTTTTATCAACACCTGTCGAGGAGAACTCAAAGATCCTGGAACAGTAGTCAAGGAAAGTGGGTCCAAATYRTCTGTAAAAYCTCAACCCTCGCMAGAGCCAAAAGCCTACAYTGCTGTCGAGAATTGTGGTAGGRAAACTACGGCAGAAAATGCGGATATGCTCRCTGCATTCTCCACCGTTGAGGGGTACTGCTCTTATCGTCATGAAGAGGAAGGGAGCTGGTTTATTAGAAGCTTGATAGAGGTTTTCAGAGAATATGCTGGTGTGGAGGATGTGACGGACATGCTGATTCGAGTGAATAAAGAAGTGAATTCTAAAGGAAGTCTGGGGAGWAAGCAAGTGCCAGARCCAAGAAATACTTTGACTAAAAAAGTATTTTTTTGGCCAGGAATGAAATTT